TGTGTGTGTGTGTGTGTGTGTGTGTGTGTGTGTGTGTGTGTGTGTGTATATATATATATATATATATATATATATATATAAAAATGACTTAATCTGATTTGCATCACATACAATCATAATCAGTAATGGATAAATTAGCCCTGTCTGCTTGATTGTGTTGGACTTATTAAATGTTCTATTATGCCTTTGAGACACAACTTCCTGTGGGGGATGATGTGTCAGAATTCTGGTAGTGCAGCCGTCTCTCTCCTCTGCACCTAACCAGGACTGTTGGGCTGGTATGTAAAGGATGTTGGGCCACAACATCCTCGCCAATGTTTTGGGGTATATAGATGGAGCAGCCCCTGAGTTACAATGGAATACAATTGTACTCAAACTGATGTACAGGGGCATAAGAGGAAGGGGCTTCTTGCACATCCTCCTTTGCCTATTGCAGAGCAACTGGGCACATTTTAGCCCAAAACAAAAAAGTTGCCTATATTGCAAAGTAAACAAATATTAGGATATATTGTAACTTTTATGCCTGAGGAACAGAAGACTTAAGCAACCTGGGCAAGTCCAGGAAACCACTCCCAGTGTAACAGTAGAACAATAGTAACTATCCGAGTTACCAGGAATGATGTCTTTCTTATGCACTGAAGATCAAGGACTAGAGCTGTTTGAGTATATAGTGTAAATTAATAATAATCTTTCCTTGAGGAATGATTAAGTATTGTTTAGGAGAAGTACCTACTCCTTAAGAGAATTTCCTTCAACTATATTTGAAAACATACCAACAGAAATTTCACTAGACAAACCCCGGGAAAACAACTCTGCAAAGCTCAAATTTAAATTATTTTCAATGTTTCCCACTCTCTAGGGAATACTAATATTGTCTTTAATTACTGATTATGGTTGAGCATCCGAGAAAGCATTATTATTTGAAATTGTTTTGTCAAGGCTTAGATATTTGGTTCCACATTTTGGGGCAGATCTTCCAGTGTGGCACAGTGGCGTTGTGCCCCAGCACTGGTAGATCCAGTGTGCATGGTGTCGAGAAGATCACACTAGTAAAAGGGGATGCTTTTGTGGTATAGAGCCAGAAGGAGACTCTTCTTTCATACCCTAACAACCAGTTCTAGATACATTCTTAAAAGATATGAAGTTTTCTGAGCATTAGGGCTAATGACACAGGGCGGGTGAATTCTGCCTACGCCTACAAATCTGATCTTTCTTGCTTATTACCAACTGCACTATCTGCTTTTTGTATTATATTGCAAGTTTGCTTTAAAAAAAATCTGGTGAAAAATCAAGGGAGAGAGGAGAATGTACAACACAGTTTCCCCTAACCTATTAACCTTTCCATCGGGTGTACCACCCAGGATTTCACAAACAGTTGTTAATACTGGGGCCACCAGGAAGTTTGCCTAGGGCTGTGTTATCTGCCAGAAACAGTCCCAGCTAATGGTGGCTTAAACACACCTTTTTAGAGATCTACAGCAAGTGTAGGGCCTTTCAACTGACCAAAAATGTGATCAAACCAGTCTCTGAAATCTTCAGAAAGTTACTAGGTCACTCAGTTCAAACAAGCTGGTAAGAATTAGACCACCTTGCGACTCTAAAAACCAAATCTCATAGAGAACAGCTAGGAGTTCTGGATTCCTATTATGCATTATGACTGCTCAATTTCAGAGGAGATTGCTAATTGCCATATAGCCCTAGGAAAGAAGTCTCCATTATGAAGCAGCAGGAATTCCACTTAGCTGACAATCTACCAGTGTTCTGGAATTCTTGTTAGTACACATAAGCCATTTTCCATTTTACTTTTCTGAGATGGCCAAATCCTACTCCCAGACCCTATAGGGAGAGAGTGAGACAGGCTGAATGGGGACACAGACTGAGCAACAAAATGTTCTTAAGAGTTCTGCCTGCATTTCTTCACACAAGGGGCGCTGTGGGCTTTTTTTAACCCCCTACTAAATCATCTGAAGATTCAAGAGTGCACATAATTGGGATATGGAGACTTATTGATGGCCCCTTTCTGAGAGGGCTGCTAGGTCCTTGGTGTTCTTCTGGGTCCCTATATCCACCTCAAAACTTTTTAGAATGACACCCATGTTGTGTAGTTACTAAGTCTGACCCTCAGTTTTTTGCACAGTGAGGATAAGGGAAATATTCCCATGTGCATTTCTGGGCCCCATGATGGAGGGCTGCCCTCTTACTGAACAATAGTGCCATCTGTAACCAGGGCAGTAATCCAACTTCTAGCCTGCTTCAATAATGATTTAGCAATAATGTTAATATTTGATATAAAAACAACTATAAAGGACCATATTCTAGTGTCTGTTACATGTATGAGCCTCCCATTGAAGTTACATGCATATCTGAAGCCCATTTTCTGACAAACCAATATGAAAGCACATTGGAACCTGGTTTGCATAAGAACCTTCATGATGAGAAGTGTAACATAGAATGCACCATATTATTGTTATTTTCATCTCCCCCCCCCCCCCCCGTAAGCCAGGGTCACAAATAAAAGAACTCTTCAGCAAGTTGGTGGTCTCTGGGTTCTGATGAGTTTGACACTAAATAAAATGGGTGCAATTTTTCTCTAACACATGTCCAGCATTCTATCTGAGTGGCTCAAACGCTTAATGTACAGGAATCTGGAATCCACAGATTTCTCAGTATAGATGGCTGTTTAGTCATTCCTATTTTATCTGAATTTGAAAAATAAACACAAGTTCCCTGTCATTTTTTTTAAATTCCAGATACACTTACTGCATGTTATCAGTGTCAGGAACATACTATGGAGCTTTGACATGGCTGAATTACACACTATGGATTCCAGTATATCCCCTGTCAATTCTGGCTAAAGGTAAAAGGGAGGGAGTAGGCATGAAGCAAATTACTTGTTTTTTGAATCTCACTCAGTAGAGTTTGATCATTTTGATGAGTTTTTGAGAAATAAGACACGTTTAAACCCCTTTACTCTTATCTACACACTTTTTCATCTATCTTTCCCCTTTCTCTGTTTCTTTCTTGGTTTCTACAGGACAGTTCCTTTCTCCTGGAAAATTAACAATTTGTTAGCACAATAAAAGCCACAGAACATCAACCTAGGATGCCGACACTTTTCTGCAGTCCTTGGTGTAGCTTAATTCTAGGCACCCAGTGCAAAGCGCAGCCAAAGCTGGCAAATGCACTGGTGCAGCTGACCCTTACTTGAAACCATCTTATGCATGAAACCATTGTGGCTTATAGCAGTTTACTGTGCCTAGACTAGGTGTGCGCACTATACCTGTAGCTGAAAACCCCAGTAGAGATGAGGACTAAGTAAATATTTGCTAATCCTAGTTATCAATGATTACAACTTCAGTCCCAAGAAAATGAATTAAAAGTAAAGCCATGTATACATGCTAAGTATGCTGTTTCATACAGATTACATTTCACAAGATAAGGCAGTAGACCAAGACCTATTTTTCATGCCTTAAATGTAGTTTTCTTAGAGATGATCTTTCACTTATAAGAAGTCTTTTACTATAACTCCAGCTTTAAAAAACATCAAAACATTATTTTGCAGCATTTGCCATCTATGAATCACTGCCTTACTTTGAATCCTTCGGCACATACTCCACCAAGCTACCATTTCCAGTTGCCTTATCGATCTACTTCCCGTACATACTAAAGCTGTACCTGGCAGTGCTGTTTGTAGGTAAGATTTTCATCACTTGTGAGCAGGGTCTTAATGTGCTGGAATTCACAAGCCTGAGCAGGCAAAAATCAAATCAATGAAAATTCTTTGTAAGCTGTGCCTTCTCCTAGGCAGTTCCTGCATTGACAGCTCTGTGTTAAGGGGGAGTTCATATTGCTCAGGAGTTGGCTGGTTTGAATTCCAGCATCCCATTTGGAAGTGAATTATCTGTTTCTAGAGAGAGGGAGTGTGGGGAAAAGAACTATTAAGAAAAAAAGTGGATGGAAAATGAACATGGTGTCTTTGAGCCACCTTCATCATTATAGATGTTAATTCAACAGAAAGTCATGAGTCAAGTCTTGATTCTGCTACCATTTGTAGTCAATGGAAACCTTTCCACGGATTTCCAGTGGGCATTAGATAAGGCCCGCAGTTTGTTTGTTCTTTTAAACTAGGTCTGACATCCTGTACCAGAACTCCTCCAGCCTTGAGGAGATTTGGAGCTAAATCCAAACTTCATAGCTTGTTCCCCCACCTACGGTTACTGTGAGTTACAGCAAAATCCTGGATCCAAACAGAAAAAGTTGGGGTCTGCATCTAACTTTCTGGCTGACCCCATTTGAACCCCCTCACATTTGGTTAAAGAGTGCTAATTTTTGTAGCATGGGCCCATCTGTTTTTAAAAAACTCATTGATCCTTTTAGATGAAGTACATTGTTGGCTGGTTCATAAGGGATTCTTGTTCAATCCTCGACCAGTAAAATGAGGACACTAGTCATGACGGTGGCTGTGGGGTGGACCTGCTAATCTGGGGGCCTGGGGCAAATCAATTTCAGGGGCCCCTTCCATAAAAAAAGTTGCAATACTATACTATAGTAACATGTATTTGGAAATGTAAAAAATAACCAGTGAAATACATTCAAAAATTAATTTTTGAATGTAATTTGAAAATACACTAAATACATTATTTAAAAACATTAAATGCTTTAATGGTATGTATACGTTTGCAATTACATAATGGGCTGTCACTGGGTGATGGT